CAGACCGATGGGCAGACAGAGCGCTTGAACCAAATTAAGGAACAACGCTTGCGCGCAGCGTGCAAGGACGACATTATCAAGTGGGACTTGCACTTGCCGGTGTTGGAGTTCGCCTACAATAATGCGAAGCATGCCGCAACAGGAGAGACCCCATTTTTCCTCTGTTACGGACGACATCCACTAACTCGACAACAGCCGACAGTACCTGCAACTGTCCAACCCGCGCACGACTTCGTTACCACAATTCAGCAGCTTTGGGATCGGACACACAAGCGTCTACAGGACATACAGTCTTCACAGAAACGCTTGGCCAATCGCCATCGACGTGATCATACCGTTGCGGTTGGTGACCATGTGCTTCTCGACACATGCAACCTCAACCTCGGTCACCTTCCATCCAAGTTACGACCTCGCTTCTGCGGACCTTTCCTCGTAGAAGAGCAGGTCACTCCAGTCACATTCCGCTTGCGCCTACCAGCTACTTGGAAGATTCATAACGCCTTCCACGTGCAGCTTCTTAAACCCTATCGAGATCCAAATAAGCTGTACACGGGACGCCAACCTCCGCCGCCGCCTCCAGTCCTCGTGAATGATGAACTTGAGTACGAGGTTGAATCTGTGCTTGCACATCGTCATCGTCGGCATGGCGCCCTGGAGTTTCTCATACGCTGGAAGGGCTATGATCCTTCTGAGGACAGCTGGGTCTCTGAAGAAGACATGAGTAACGCCCGACGTTCTCTCCGCGACTATCTTGTCAAGCAGGGTGTTACATCTACCACCCAGCTTTGAGGGGGGGAAGTGTGAGAGTACGCCGACGTTCGACATATTTCTCATTTCCATATTTTTACTCCATCTTATTCTCCTTATTTTCCTCTTTCATTTGCACTTTATTTCACCTCAATCGGACTACTATTCTATTTTCTAGAGCTTTCCGATTATTTCACTTATTTGGTATTTTCGGCACCGGCATTTACATTATACGGCACCGACAGCACCAACAGTGGTGTACAAGGCGTAATCTCGCCATAATCCGAAGTGCCAATGGGCTTGCGTGCTTATGCGCACTTGTGATTATCTATTATAGAAGAGCGCATTCCCGAAGGTTCGGATTATCTGTTGTTTCTATGTATTTCTGAGTATAAATACGCCTTGTACTCACCTTTAGTGCAACATTCTCGAGTGGAAATTCGATCATGTGACAGCCGCCAGTAGTGACTGGGTGCGCGCGGCTCGCCCTCTCTGCCCTCCTTGCGCATCATCTGCCTGCCCGGCGATCGTGCGCCGTCTCCGACCCAGCCTTCCGGTGCCTACCGCCCGTCGAGTGCGCGACGGTTGACAGGCGGCCGCTCCCACCGCCGCGGTTCTTCCCTTGATGCGCGCGGTCCCCCCATCTCGCTCCTGCTGCGTTCTCCTTGCGTCCCACCAGCGCCGGCGCACACGCCCCAGTCCTGCCGCTCCTGTTGACGCAGCCCCTTGGCGTCCTGCTCCTCCTGGCGGCTGGCGTCACGCTCGCCAATTCCCGCCGTCCCGACTGCGATCCTTCCGCCACTGCCTGGCTTGCGCCCCCGGCGACGTCTGCCTCTTCAGGCTCGGCGTTTCTGATCCCAATCACGGGCTCCTCATCGTCATCCCCTCCGCCGGCGTCTTCGGCCGCTTATTCCAGGTTCACGCCGGCCTCTTCCGCCTCCTCCTCGCTAGACGTCTCCCACGACCCTTCCCCGTGGGCGGCTTCCCTTTCTCGGTCGGCGTCGAATCTCTCCACATCACACCAACGGCCTCGCTCATCGCGGCGGCACCCGCGTCCTTCCGGCGAGCGAAACTCTCCCGCGGCGCGGCGGTCCTCGCTCCCGTGCCCATCTCCGGGATCCCGCTCTCTCTGCCACGCGTCTCCGTCCGCGCTTGCAGCGTACGCTCCTACGCTCGGCCTCCCTTTCGCCCGCCGGTCCCTAGCAACCGGTACTCTGTCTACGCAAAAAGCTGGCCTGCGTGGCGAGCGCTCCAGGGATCGCCCGCGCTCACGTGACGGTTCACGCCACGCCCGCTTCGCGGCGACTGAACACTCTGCCCCAACGAAGCTCGTACTTATCCATAACTACAGACTAGATGCCTATTGTGTGGTATGAATGGGATTGCTCCCTCACCCCACAGGTTCCCCCTTAGTGCTGTGTCACTGCATGTTGAGGCTAGTATGACAACTTTCCACTAGTCTGAGAGAATAACACACAATAGGCATCGAGTGAATTGGCGTGGGTGACCTTACCCAACCTCGGCTTGCACATTTCCAATGTGCGGCTCGAGGTTGGGATTCGTTCAAATCCCCATTTCGCCCTTCGGTGCTTTTCCCCCGCTATCCCAAACCGCTCTCACCCATTTCCCCCCTTCTACACCCCTTAGCAACCGACACTTCGCTACCGGCTGCAATGACTATACTACTTCTTATCTATCTACTTCAATGTATTTCTAACCATTCTAATACTACTTCACAGCACCGCACGCTACTGTTATTGCATATGCATTCCTTGCATATGCGGTGACACCTTTAGCGCTTCCGCTTTCAGTTCTCTTCACCACAATCCACTCCTCTGCCTATTGGCCACTCGCTCTCAGCTCCACCTTTGAACGAGTCCGTAGAGCCGAGTGGTCCATATCCAGAGCTTGTGGACTGCCTCATGTACCTAATGACTTGCACTCAACCTGACCTCGCGTACCCTCTCAGCATCTTAGAGCGCTACGTTGCGCCCGGGAGACACCGACCAGAGCACTGGCGGGCTTCTGGGAGTGTGTTGTACATCCTGTGCAAAGCATCTTATGCAATACACCAAGCTCAGTTGTATTCACTGGACACTCAGACGCTTCTTGGGCAGACGACCAGGCGACTCAGCAGTCCTCACAGAGTTACACTTTCAGTCTAGGCTCCGGTTCAGTCTTCTAGAGATCTACACATTCGTCTTCTGTTCTCAACTCCAGTTGTGAGGCTGAGATCTACGCGGGGGCCATGGCTGCACAAGAGTTACGCTGGCTGACCTACCTGTTGACAGACTTGGGTGAGCGGCCTCGTTCTCCTCCGGTTTTGTACGTCGACAACACGGCAACGATTGCATTGTGTCAGGAGCAGAGCCTGGAGCACAGAATAAGCCACATTGCTCTTCGTTACTTCCTTGCTCGAGAGCTACAGCAGCGTGGTCGTCAGCTGCGCCTTGCCTACGAGGCCTCCCGGGCCAAAATTTGCTGATATTTTCAAAGTGCCTACAAGGCACTTGTGTTTGGTGATCATCGGCGTTTCTGCACTGCTCTAGGCCTTTTGCCTACTCTGCCTCACTTGCTTACTACTTGAATTTGCCTTGTACAGTGATCTATATATCTATACCTTCATGTTTACTCTTGTAAGGTTGTGATCAGTGTACTGCTTGTGCTTTTATAACTCTGTGAGAAGAAACGAGGAATGAAATGACTAAAGGGAAAGTTGGGTACAAAAGCAAACCCTAGAAAACTGTACCCCATATGTGCTACCCCACTATAGCCTACAGTAGCTATGTCATATAAATCTGACACACCCCCATAGGCAAAGTGGGGGAGAACAAGGGGTCACAAGACCAGTCAAGCAAAGCAAAACAAGCTCAGGGTGGATCACAAAGTCACCACACATTCCGAGCACAAGTTCAAGGCCACAAGGCCAGTTCACATGCAGGATTGCATATATATATAAGGCTAGACAAGCAAGAGCAGGTGTATATATATATGCAACAGTACAAGCAAGGTCAAGGGGTGAGCAAGTGAGGCAAGCTAGGCACAAGACCCAGCTGAGTACAGAAGCGCTGATGATCACAAGGCGGAAGTGCCTTGGTGAAGATATCAGCAGTGTTGGCCTCAGAGGCCACGTACGCAAGCCGTAGCTGACCACGCTGCTGTATCTCACGAGCAAGGAAGTAGCGGAGAGCAATGTGCTTCGTTCTGTGCTCCAGTCTCTGCTCTCGACACAAGGCCAGCATGGCCTTGTTGTCTACGTACAGCACTGGAGGAGAACGAGGCGGCTCTACGAGGTCAGTGAGCAGGTAGGTGAGCCAGCGAAGCTCCTGTGCAGCCATGGCCCCGGCGTAGATCTCAGCCTCACAACTGGAGCCGAGAACAGAAGACGAGCGGGTAGCCCGCCACGAAACAGAGCCGGAACCAAGGCTGAAGGTGTAACCCTGTGACGACCGCTGCGTAGCCAGGTCGTCAACCCACGAAGCGTCTGCGTGACCAGTGAGGACCACTGGACTACGCCCTCCAAGCACGAGCCCCATGCCCGACGTACTGCACAAGTAGCGCAACACCCTCTTCGCTGCAGCCATGTGCTCTGGTCTGTGTCTCCCAGGAGCAACATAGCGTGCAAGAATGCTAAGAGGGTATGCAAGGTCAGGTCGGGTGTGCAGGTCATCAGGTACATGAGGCAGCCAACAAGCTCTGGGTACGGGCCACTCGACTCTACGGACTCATCCGAAGGCAGAGCTGAGAGCGAGTGGCGAGTAGGCAGAGGAGTGGCCTGAGGCGAGGAGTATGTGAAGCCGAAGCGCTGAAGGACCTGCTGCACCATGTGTGACTGAGTCAGGGTAATGGTGCGGCGTGCTCTGTCCCGGGTGATCTGCAAGCCAAGGTAGCTGCGCAGTTCACCCAGGTCTGTGCACGTGTGTCTCTTCTGCAGCTCGGACTTCACGTGGGCGAGTCCAGCAGTGTCAGCTGTGGCGAAGACCAAGTCGTCGACGTACACGAGGATGTAGAACGGCGGCAAAGAAGTGTCGGTGCGCAGAAACAGCGACGGGTCGGCAGTAGAGGGAGCAAACCCAAGGGCCGCAAGTGTAGTCCTCAGTGTGTCGTGCCACTCACGCGGTGCCTGGCGGAGACCGTAGACTGGCCGCCGGAGGCTCCACTGGGTGCCAGGAGGAAAGGACCCAGTGAAGCCAGGTGGGCGACGCAGCCAGATCTCCTCGTGCAGGCTGCCCTGCAAGAAAGCAGTGCTGAAGTCAAGAGAGTGCAGCTCGTAGTCGCGGTGAGCAGCTATGTGCAGCAGTACCCGAAGAGTGGTCATCTTCGAGGTGGGAGAGAAGGTCTGAAAGTAGTCAACTCCCTGCCGCTGACTGAAGCCACGAGCCACGTAACGCGCCTTGAAGACAGGTGGAGAACCCGGCGGCCGCTTCACCCTGAAAATCCACATGCCACTAACGATGTTCGCCCCAGGCGGGGGAACCTCGTCAACGTAGGTGCCTGTGGACTTCCAGGAAGCCATCTCTGCGTCCATAGCTGCCTGCCACTGAGAGGAGTAGGGACCCTCTATCGCCTCCGCGTAAGAGCGCGGAGTCGGGATGTCAAGTGCATCCGGGTCTCCCTCAGGGGTAAGCAGTACGGACACGAGATGAGGTGAAGCAGCAGCCAGACACTGGAACTCCTCCTGCCTGTCCTCAAGGACGTCCGTGCCAAGGGCACACTCACCCCCGATGGACGGAGGACAGACAGACTCAGACTCAGCAACAAGACTAGCAGCGTAGTCTAGACGACAGCGAGCAGCAAAGTCGACGAGCTCAGCAACTAGGGCAGACGCAGCAGTGGACTCAAAGGAAGGGTCAGTGACAACAGTAGCAAGGAGACGCGTGACAGTCGGACTGGCAGCACGAAGGGAGTCCGACTCCGGGTCAGGAAGAGCAGGAAGAGAGGACTCAGGAGGAGAAGGCAAAGGGGCACGCAGAGGAGCAGTGGACGGACGCAGAGACATCCGGTGCGTGCCAGGGACAGGAGGAGGACGCTGACGCAAACCACGACCACTAGTGCGAGCAGCACGGACAGGCGACGTAGGGCGAGACGCAGGCTCACGACGCTCAGTAAGACCTCCAGTAGGACCAGTGTAGGGAGAAGGAGCGGGCAGTGGGGAGGCCGGCTGTAACTGTAACTGTGACGGGACAGGCTGTGGACACTCTAAGGGAGGAGGAGGACCAGTAGAAGGCGGGAGACCAAGAACCTGCTGAAGGAGCGGAACGAAGTACGGCCGAGGCCGCGCGGCGACTCCAGACACAGCAGGGACAGCACCAGTACCCCCAGCGGCAGCACCAGCGCCAGCAGCACCTCCAGCTCCAGTACCTCCAGCAGCACCAGTAGCACCCCCAGTAGGACCGCCTCCAGGACCGACAGCAGTAGCCTCAGCGCCAACACCCTCAGCAGCTCCAGCTCCAGTCGTACCCGCAGGCCCAGCAGCTCCAGTACTCCCAGTACGAGCACCTCCGGGACCCGCGGCACCAGCACCCTCAGCAGCCGAAGAACCTCCAGCTCCAGCAGCACGCCTCCAGCGCCGGGCAAACCACTTGCGCAGCTCCTGTGGAGAGAGTGGCTCCCGCCAAGACGAAGCACCCGGAGAACCTCCAGGCTCAGCACCGCCAGACGCCACACGAGCAGGCCCAGCTCCCTCAGGCTCCGCACCCCCAGGCTCAGCACCTCCAGGCGCAGCACCCCCAGGCTCAGCACCCCCAGGCTCAGCACCCCCAGTAGTAGCACCCCCAGGCTCAGCACCCCCAGGCTCAGGACCCCCGGTAGTAGCACCCTCAGGCTCAGCACCCCCAGGCGTAGCACCCACACGCTCAGCACCCCCAGACACAGCACCCCCAGGCTCAGCACCCTCAGCAGCACCAGAGTCACCAGTAACCTCGACAGGCTCGACTGCGTCTACCTGCGACACACATGAAAAACAGGACCCTGAGGGGGGAGGGGGTCTACCGGGGGGGGACCTGGCACAAGGAAGAGCGGTGGCGGGGGGAGGGACGGAGTGCGGTAGGGGAAGAGGCGGTAGTAGGGGACCGACTCGTCAAACGTGACGTCCTGGGAGGACAGAACACGGCGAGAGGTGGGGTGGTAGAACTGCCACCCTGGCGCGTCAGGGGGGAAGCCAAGGAAGACGCAAGGAGCAGCACGAGGGGACAGCTTGTCCGCAGACAAGTCGCGGACAAACGCCCGAGATCCCCAGACACGGAACGCAGACGCATCGCCAACCTTCCCCGTCCACAGCAAAGCTGGGGAGGTCTCCGGCATGGAGACCCTCGGGTGAAGGTTGATCTGATGCGCCGCGTACCGAACCGCAAACGGCCACAGAAAATGGGGGGCAGCCGCATGCATCATGGACGTACGGGCGACGTCCATGACCATGCCAATGCGGCGCTCAGCAATCCCATTTTGCTGTGGAGAGTCCGGAAGCGTGAAGGTCTGGCGGATGCCTCGTGCACGACAGTAGGCTCGCAGAAGGCCAGAGGAGAACTCTCCACCTCTGTCAGAGTGCAGACGCAGAACAGGAAAGTCCGAGCCGAAGCTCTGCCTGAGCTGGAGACGAGCTGCGCGGATCCAGTCGATCAACACCTCAGTGACATCACCCTTGCTGCGCAAAGGGAAGACTGTGGTGTAACGCGAGTAGTCGTCAACCACCAGCAGGAAGTAGCGCTCGTGACCCTGTCCACGGACGCAGGCCGGGCCCCACACGTCCATGTGAAGCGTCTGCAGCGGGGCCTCTGTCGGAAGAAACTGGGAGGAGTGAGGGGCAGCCCGCTGCCGCCCCTCGACACAGGGGACGCAGGTAGGGCCAGGCCCCGGAGGAAGAGGAGGGAGGGACCGGGGAAGACCAGAGACAAGGACACGGGAGGCCATGCCTCGGAGACGAAGCAGGGAGGGGTGACAAAGGCGGTGGTGCCAGAGGAGAGTCTCGTGCGACAGGAGGCGACACGAACAGGGGGCAGACTCAGGACCAGACCTGGACGCTGCAGCAAACACCTGACCCGACGCAGCTACCTGACCAGACGCAGTGACTGGAGGAGACGCAGTGGTCAGTGTGTACAGGCTCGACCCCGGCCGACGTGTAAACGTGGCCAGGTGTCGGCCTGTCCGAGCGTCCGTGCAGTGGGTCACCCGCTGACTCGCAGGAGTGAACTGGTGAACCCCCGCATCCTGTAGGTCAGCACCACTCACCAAGTTCGTAGAGAACGAGGGGAGGTAAAGACCAGACAGGGTGCCAGAGGGGGCCGCCGGACACGGGAGGACAGTGGAGAAGTGAGCAAGGACAGGACCCCCAGAGGGGTCTGCCAGAGAGACTGCAACTGGCCGGCCAAGCGGCGTGAGTCTGGTGCGGTCTCGAAAGAAGGAGCGAGAAGCCCCCAAGTCAAGGGTGAAGGTGTGGGAGGCCGAAGCCGACGCAGAACCTGAGAGAGCAGACTCACCAGCACCTGAGGGAGCAGACGCACGAGCACCTAGAGCAGCAGCCTCGCTAGCACCTAGAGCAGCAGCCTCACCAGTACCTAGAGCAGCAGACTCAATGCCCGGGTCGGGCGGAAAACACCGGTAACAGTCACCCTCATCACTAATAGTCACAGTATACATGGCAGCAAGAATAGCATCAAAGTCAAGGTCAAAGACAGCTACACCCGCCCTAGACAGCTCACCCCAGCGGGGGATCTCAGTGGCCTCAGGGAACTGGTGACGCCAAGCGTCCGTCAGGCGGCCAAGCAGCGCTGGGTGGAGTGCGCACCCCAGCACTGCTCACCCGCGCGGTCTCCGGTGCGTAGGACGTAGGTGCACGGACCAGTACCCCCACTCCGCTGGCGTGCAGCGTACTACTCACGGAGCTGCTGAGGGGGGGGGATGTCACGAGTGCGCTGCTGCTGCTGCTGCTGCTGCTGCTGCTGGCGCTGACCACCACCGGAGCCGACCCTCTGCGCAGCGCCACCCCGACCAGCTCCACCTCCTCCGCCGCCGCCTCCTCCACCGCCGCCACCTCCGCTCCCATCGACACCGCCGCCGCCGCCTTCGCCTCCACTGCCTCCACCGACACCTCCACCCCCGCCACCACCCCCACCGCCACCCCCACCCCCTCCACCGCCTCCACCGCCGCCTCCACCGCCCCCGCTAGCTCCTCCAGTGCCCCTGCCCCCCTTGCCCTTGCCAGGGCGGCGTCTCCCGCTAGGGGTAGACGCCGCACCGACCGACTCAAGCCCAACGAGGTCGGCCGCAGCAGCAGAGGCAACAGAGGGCAACAGGGGGGAGGGGGAACACCCCTCAAAGATGGGGGTGCGAGGGTCACCACGAGAGGCTCCTACAGCTACTATGCTCTTTTCTGCTGCTAGGAGGGCCTTCTCGAGGAGGTCAACGGTGAGAGTGGTGGGGCAAACTGAGAGGAAGTGGTCCCTGACTACGCGAAGGGATTCAGGGAGCCGGGTGACTATGTAGTAGAGGGTGATGTACATGGGGGGGGGGGTTCTTGGCGCAGAACTCAGCAGGAAGCGCAGCGCGGTAGCGAGTGTCACTAGTGCGGAGGTGCGTAATGAGGTCAGCGACTGTGGGAAAGGCAGCAAGGTCAGGGAAGAGGTACGGTAGCATGAGGCGGCTCAGTGCAGCAGTGGCAGGGGAGGAGTAGCGCGCAACTACAGCGTCGTACAAGGTCTGAGCACTCTTGTACTGGCTAAAGTGCGCACGCTCAGAGGTAGGCAGGTGGCGACGCACAGCAAGACGTGCAGCAGCATCGCGAGTGGCCCACTGTGAGCGAACAGTGGCGTCGGCATCAGCAGCAGGGGCAGGAGAGGCACCAGAGGTGAGGTCAAAGAGGGAGAGACCGTCTGCCCTATCGCACTGTAGGAAAAGCTGCAGGTCATCTACCCAGACGTCAATGTCAATGGCCCGACCCTCAGCGTCAAAAGCGAGGACACTAGGGGTAGCCATGACAGCAGTAGACTAGCAGCGCGAACAGTAGGGTAAGGGCAGTGCAGTGACAGAGGCGCTGCTCTTACCAGACAGGGCGGCTCGGGTGGCTCGGCGGCTCAGCGGCTCGGCAACTCGGCGGCTCGAGCGGCTCGGGCGGCTCGGCGGTACGGCGGCTCGGCAGCAACAGCGGCTCGGCGACTCGGCGGCTCGGGCGGCTCAAGCGGCTCGGCGGTACGGCGGCTCGGCAGCACGGGCGGCTCAGGTGGCGCGGCGGCTCGGGCGGCTCGGGTGGATCGGGCAGCTCGGCAGCAGCTCGGCGGCGCCGGCGGCTCGGTGGTGACGGCGGGGCCGCGCGGGGAGCGGCGGCGGGGCCGGGTGGAGCGGTGCCGGTAGGGTCGAGGCGCACCGGCGGGTGCAGTCAGCGGCGGCAGCAGCTGCGGCCCCGAGGGAGGTGGTGGCGGCTGCTGCTGGCGACGGCTGCGGCTGCTGCTGCAGGGACGGCGGCGGCCGCTGCTGTAGGGACTGCGGCGGCTGCTGCGGCAGGGGCGGCGACGGCGGGCCGGAGGGGGCGGCGACAGGGCCGCGAGAGGCCGCGAAGGGCGGCGAAGGGGCCGTGAAGGGCGGCGCGAGGGGCCGCGGAGGGCGGCGACGGGCCGTGATAGGGCGGCGCGAGGGGCCGCGGAGGGCGGCGACATATAAATCTGACACTCTGCATGTGAACTGGCCTTGTGGCCGCTTGCTTGTGCTTGGATTGTTTTGTAATCTTGAGATCCACCCTGAGCTTTGCTTGGTTTCTTCTCTTGACCGGTCTTGTGACCATTGGATGCTCTGGCAATTCCTCGTTTCGCCTATTGGGGGTGAGTCAAAAATTTCAGAATCCTTGCCACTAACTACTAGGATAAAAGGGCTTGTTTGTGTAGCAGGTGAGTGCGCCCATAACCCCCCAGGACAACGTGCCTGTAACCCTTCCCTAGGATCAATCGGAAATCTCCAATGCACCTTTGACAAAAATATATGTGTTTAGATACATCTATGCTTTATTGGGGCTACCTCTAGAGGGTACGGAAGTCATCTCGACACTCTCCTTGTACCCCCTCCCTTGACCTAATCGACATTCTTACCTCACACTTGTAACACAAACATGAGACCATAAATGGGTTGAATCCCTTTTAGGGTTCCGTTTTTGTATCCCCGTCCTTCCTAGTTCATTCATTCGGTTTTACGTATTATGCCAACTGCCTAGTTAAATGGCGACGTGGGTCAGCTTCTGGAGTTGAGGTCATCGACTGAGCCTGGTGTTCCGAAATGTTGGAATCGTACTAGTAGCGTGACTCAGTATGGAATGGGCAAAATTCCTAATGATAACACAGATCTAGTTACCAGGTTATGTTTTTTGGTGATGAAGCAATCGATGTAACCTCATCACAACTCTTTCGAGCTCGGATTTGTCAAAACATGTTTATATGCTGTTAGTTTTTTTAGTTCTGTTAGACTGCAGTATGGAACCTAGTATAGGGTACAACGCAATTCTCTCGACACTCATACTTTGACCCTAATCTCCTCCTAGTCAATCATCCTTAGTTTCTAACATGGTTTCAGAGTAGGTCCCGTTCTAGGACCGGAATTTTTTTTTAGGGCCCATTGAATAAGTCCCGTTCTGCCCGGCGGTTGTTTTTACCCTGCCCGGCCTATCACTTCTGCCCTGCCCAGCGCGCCATCGCGCTGCTGCCCTGCCCTGCCCAGCGCGCTATAGCGCTGCCCTGCCCAAACCCGCGCGCTGTCGCGCTGCCCAGTGCGCCCGCCCGCCTGCTGCCCCGCACGCTGCTCGCGCTGCCCGCGTGCTAACCGCGGTGCCCGCACGCCGCTCGCACGCTGCTCGCGCTGCCCGCACACTGCCCGCACGTCGCCCACGCTGCCCTGTGTCGCCCGCACTGCCTACACACTGCCGGCCCGCCCTCCGCTGCCCTGCGCTGCCTGCATGCGCCCTGCCTGAGTCCCCCGTGCATTGCCCTGAGCTGCCCGCTTGCGCCCCTGCCCTACCTTGCTTGCGCTGTCAAGCTACCAGCTTGCGCCCCTGCGGCGCTGCCTGCACCGCCAGCTTGCGCCCCTACCCTGCCCTACTTGCGCGCCTGCTGCTACTGCCTGCAACGTCAACTAGCATGTCTGCTGCTGCCCAGTCACTAGTCACCATCCAAGGCGCTTTATGACGCTGTAATCAAGCGCTACTCGTCCCCGGCGTCTGCCACTGTAGGCCGTCCGGCGCTGCCATTCCTCTTTCCTGAGCTGTCAGACTTCACCACCCAGCTGACCTCCTGACTCACCTGCGCTCCCTTGAGACCCGTTGCACTGCCGCCCTCGAGCCCGCCTTTCTGGCTGAGAACAAGCCACCCATGTATCTCACCCTTTACTTTCTCACGACCCGCCTCCCTGATTCACTTCGTGCTGTTCGCGACCTCTTTCTCGCTCTAGACCCCACGAAGACCACCCTCGCCTCGTTTGATTCCCGTCTCTTAGAGGCTGGGCCCGCTGCCATAGCTGTCGCTGCCTCTCGCGGCACTCCTCTCCCCTCTGTCTTCGTGCTCCCCCTCCCTGCTCGCGCCGTCTGTTGCCTCTGTTGCTGCTGTGGGCTTTCTTGGTGCTGAGGAGGTCGGTACTGCGTCTACTCCTAGTGGGAGGCGCCGCAACGGCAAGGGCAAGGGTGGCAAGGGTGGGGGTGGTGGGGGTGGTGGGGGTGGAGGGGGTAGCGGTGGTGGTGGCGGGGGTGGTGGTGGTGGGGGAGGAGGAGGTGGAGGCGGCAGAGGAGGAGGGGGAGGTGGGTGTAATGGGGGTGGTGGAGGGGGTGGGGGCAGCAATCGGAGTGGAGCTGGCGGAGGAGCTGGAGGTTCGGCCACTTGTAAAGCTGTATCTGGTGGTGCAGCGGGAGGTGGAGGTGGCTCTGGGGGTGGTCTGCAGCATCAGCTGAGTCGACAGGTGCAGCTCTCGCCGCAACAGCTTCATGAGTGGGCGATACGGTGTGGCAGCTCAGGTGGCCCAGCTCGCTACGTGTACGTCCACCGCACAGGTCAGCCTGGAGCGACTTGCACTTGCACCGACCATACGGAGCCTCGCTGCTTCTTTTGCCTTGACGATCTGTTTCGTGCGGAGCATGGTGAGCACATCACGACTCTTGACTGGTTAGCCTTGCTTAAGAAGGACATTGATGTGTTTGCTTGTGACTGGGCCGTAATCCATGCTGGCATGTATGCGATGTATTCAACTTCTACTTGTGTTGAGGATAAGTGTTACTCGTGTGTGCTTAGAGTTGCTAGTGTAGAGGCTGCTAGTCTAGGTGTTTGTGACTCAGCTAGCACAAGTGCAAAGCCTGAGGAGGCCTTGCACACTTTCACTCTTTACTCAATCGCGTCTCGCTGCTTCTTTCGCGACAGCACCACAGTCACACCGACCACAGCTCGTATCCCTGTCACACTGGCCGACCCCTCCGGTGGCCGGGTAGTTGCGTGTGGCTCCACTGTTCTCCCGTCTCTGACGGCCCCTTCTGGCCTCCGCACAGGTCTCCACCTCCCCTCGTTCGCTAAGAACTTGGTGGCTACTGCTGTCCTCCAAGACCAGTTTCTCACTACCACTCAGCCTCGCGAAGAGTTAGTGGCGATCTGTACGAACT